TTCGATGAGCGAAGAATTATTTAGCTTGCTGTTCTGCTGTTTAATTCTATTCTACAAAACGGAAGGTAAAAAAAAAAAAATCAAAAGTATATAATGATTTATAATATTCTACAAAAATCAAACAATCTGGAAATTTTAATGTTAATACTTATAACAATTCTTAGAGAACCCTTTGGTATGAAAATATTTGTTTCAGCCCACAAATTATATTCAATTTAACATAATAATAACACTGAATTTACAATTTTTTTGAAAATAAAATATTTTTAGAAGTTGCTCAATACCTTTAAACATTAGGCAGGCATTAGCTTAATATAATCAACGAAAAAAAATGTTCTTCTAAAGTATGTCTGGGTGTCTGGGTCGTAAAGAAGCAAAGTTATTCAAAAATAATATTCGTTGCAAAAAATAATAAGATTTATTATATTACATCAAAACGATAGTTTTTCAACAAATTTTCTATTTTTTATTTTATTTTATTTATTAAATGAATAATATATATGAAATTTTGATAAAGTTTCGCTTCTTTTGAAATCATTTGAAGAACTTTTTTTTTGATATTATTAGCAACCTACCTAATATTCAAAGGTATTTTTAAAAATGTTTCCTTATCAAAAAAGAAAGAAAGTTATTCACTTCAAGCTTTTTATTATAAATTTTTACATATCTGATCACTTTGGACATCTAGTGATTGTGTGACATGTAAAGTATATTCTTATACATCGCTCCAAAATACCTCACAGATTTTTTTTTTTTAAATTCATAAAACATATATTTTATTCAATAAAGTTGGACAAGACCTTTGAATATGACTTTCTTATATTATAAAAAGTAGCTCCCTAATATTATAAAAAATGACTTCCTAATATTATTCCGTAATCCTAATATTATAATAACTCTAATATTAATATAATTATTATAACTATATTTAATAATTAATAATTAATATAATAATAAAATATAATTGTATTATAATAATAGTATATCTAAAATAGTTTTTCTAAAAAATAACTATATAAAAATATTTTATGTTCTGTTGTTTTACTGTTCTAGATTTCACACTTACTTCTATTTTTATACTTATTCATATATCCTCAACTTCTATTTTTATACTTATTATTATATCCACTTACTTCTATTTTTATACTTATTCATATATCCTCAACTTCTTCTCTTTAATGTTTTTTAAATAAATGGTAAAAAAGTAATTCATTTAAACATTGCTCTTATTGCAATAGTATGTGCTCATTTTATATGCATGCTCAGCAGGGGCGGACTGGCCAAATTATTATGATGTGGAAAAATATTTTTAACGGCCCTGTAGGCCAACGAAAAATGAGGAAAAGCAGCAAAGATAACAGACGTAAATTACAAAGTTATGCTTAATTTATAAATATATACATTAATGAATAAATATCGAACAGAAAAAATTTATTAGAATACATATACGTAAAAACAAAGTACTTAACAACGGCCCATGTGGAATAGTCCACATCTTCCACATGGCCAGTCCGCCCCTGATGCTCAGAGCTCATTAGATCTCTCACCCTGTTTATCTATTTTAAAAGAAAGTCTCAAATGAATGAAAACACCTTTCTACTTTAAAAAAAAATCGGTTTATTAATTTCTTAGATGCACAGATTTACCATATTGATTGCGTAGACACTTAGCATAGGTATGTTTAACATAGATGGCAGTTGGGTGACATTACTCACAACGTTTTTCAAAATTCATGACTTAGAAAATAAGATTTTAACCATTCATCAAGACTATATTAAACTTACAAACAAAAGAGAACCAGGAAAAAGGGTAGGTATGTCAAATCTGCCCCTTAATATAAAACATTTTCAATTTTTTAATATGGGCGTATATATTTATAGCAAAAAAATAATTATAGCAAAAATGACTTTTAATTATCAAAATAAAGTGTTTTTGCTAGCTATTTTGCGAGCTATTTTTTATTTTTGCCTCCACAGCAGCACTTTCTGGTGTAGCAGGACGGGCTTATTAATTTTTTTATTTATTAAGTTTCATACCATAGTTTTTTTAGACCATCCACAGCTTATTAGAACTAATTACCTGAGCACGTTAATAACATAACTATTTTGACATATGAGCAACAAATTTCTACCGATGTTTTGATGTCTTTAGAAATTCTAAGCTTTTTTAAAAATTCTCTCCCTTTCGCTTTTTATAGTGTATAACATCTTTACATATGTTATGCATATAATATCTATAAAACTTCAAAAGTGTTTTACTTTGTATTTAAAAAAAATTAGAGAAATAATAAAACAAAAAAAAAGGTTCCAGTGGGAACTCTGCGAGTTAACCACTCGGCCACACAGGCGTGTTGATGACGAAATTTTAAAACCATTTAACAAACAAAAGACTTTGTAAAACGGAAATAATTGTAATAGATTAAATTTAAGGAGATGCAATGTACTATGTACTAATGACACAATGTAATAGATTAAATTTAAGGAGATGCTATGTACTATGTACTAATGCCACAATATAATTTTCAAGTAAAAGTAAAACTGTAAAACTTTTAAGTTTACAGTTTTACTTTTTTTTATTTTTTTTAATTTAAAATTCTGGAGTAGTTTAAAACACAATTATTTATTTTTTTAACTGTTGATTTTATAAAATCCCAGTAAAGTCTAAGTTCATTATAAAATCTAACTTTTCGCTAAGCGTGATTAAACTTATCGACGGTAGTTTTCAGAATACTGTGAGCAAGAATTTACTTTAAATAGACAAAATTCATAACTAATTAAATATTAGATCTTCATTTACTAAATTCAGTATGACTATATACACTATATACACTTTAGTATGTGTTTTAATATGATGTTCGCACTTCTTATGAATGTTAAATATTATATATATATATACATATATATATATATATATATATATATATATATATATATATATATATATATATATATATATATATATATATATATATATATATATATATATATATATATATATATATATATATATATATATATATATATATATATATACATATATATATATATATATATCCAGAGCAACTAAATACTTATAAATGTAATGCTGTATATAATATAAATATATACAAATATTTGGTTGCTATGAACCAAATATTTATAGGTTTATTATTTTAACCGGATATTTATAAACATTTATTAACATTAGGTTGTTAGATACTTATAAATATTATGCTATATATTTATAAACATTATGATTTATATAATATAAATATATATAAATATTTGGTTCATAGCAACCAAATATTTATGTTTTGTTGCTATGGATACCTAATCTTGCAATAAGCTGCAAATATTTAATTTGTACAATATACACTAAATTTGGCAATACATACTAGGTCGCACTTTGTTTAAAAGTGGCAACTTTTTATTTAGTTGCTTGGATACCTATATTGTTTAACAACCAGGTACTTTTCTTATTAACACAGAGTTAAATGGATATTTGAATAAATTTTTATCGGATTTTCAACCGTCCTATTTTAAATAGTAATTAAGTATTAAGGTAATTAATTCTAGGTAAAGATTTAGATATGTAAACTCTTTTGGAAATTTAAAGATAATAACTTTTATTTAATAGTAAGATTTAGGTAATTAATAGTAAAAACATATAATTACTAAATTATATGACTCATATAATTTGGTAATTAATTAATAATAATAATTATTATTATTGTTAATTAATTACCAAATTGTAAAAAGTAATTATTAAATAATAAATAATAATTAATAATTACAAAATAATATGACTCATATAGTTTGGTAATTATATGTTTGTCATTGTCATATAATTACCAAATTATATGACTCTTTTATATTTAATTATAATTAGTCTACTACCAAAGTACAAACTACCAAAGATTTGTTAACAGTACAGCTCACCCGGTGGGAAGTCGGCTAGCGAATAGCTAGCTATAATCGCTACGATAAAGACAGCGATTTGGCCACGAGGATCGCTAGCTTTTTTAAGTTAGCGAAAAGCTATCGATATTTGTAAAAACAAAGACAGCGATTTGGCTACGAGGACAGCTAGCTTAATAAGCTAAAGACTCACAGACTATTGTAGCTACCGTCATATCGTAATAAAATCGCTATCAAAAAAGTTTTGGTATGTAACTATTAATCAGCTAAGATTTGTAGATATTTTTTAGCTAGCTACAAAGCTACGATATGTAGCTAGCGACACATTGCTACAAAATCGCAATGTTTAAAGTTCAATTATTCTCATAATTAAAATAAATTCAACACTAAAAATCGAATTTTTAAAGATGTTAGAGAGATTAGTAAAGAATAAAATAAGAAAAAAAAAATCGCTTCAAAATCGCTATTAAGCTAGCTAGTCGCTCGCTAGTCGCTCGCTAGTCGCTAGCTCATTTCCCACCGGGCAGTATATATATATATATATATATATATATATATATATATATATATATATATATATATATATATATATATATATATATATATATATATATATATATATATATATATATATATATATATATATATATATATATATATATATATATATATATATATATATATATATATATATATATATATATATATATGTATATATATATATATATATATATATATATATGTATATATATATACATATATTGTGGCGGGATAGCTCAGATGGTTAGAGCGTCAAAAGAAAAGTTGAAACCCGGACGTTGAACGATACGAGTTCAAATCCCGCCACCGCCAACTCAGCGCTTGAGTACTTCGTACGCAAAAATGTTGGTCAATAAGGGACGCTACTTTGGATTAGTCTTAATGACTATTTGTGGCTGTTCCTATGTTAAGCCAACAATATCTTCGGATATAAGAACATTGTTTAGAAAAATATAGCATGAAAACTATATATATATATATATATATATATATATATATATATATATATATATATATATATATATATATATATATATATAATATATATATATATATATAATATATATATATATATATATTATATATATATATATATATATATATTATATATATATATATATATATATATA